AAGGCGCACGCCCAGGGTCCCCCGTGTTCTTTTTTTAACCCCTTATAACCCCTATATCCCCTTCATAGGAACCCTGCTTTCTGGGAAAACCCCCTATATACCTTAAGCCTTAACCCTAAACCCCAAGCCCTGATCCAAGGGATGGTACCTTGATGGGACAAGCGGTGGCTTAATTCAATCGCCGAAGAAGTGATTTAGGGTTTAGGGTCGCGCTTTTTCGGCTGTGCAGAAGTCGGAACAGGGGGAGTCCTGCGGCTAGCGACGTTCAACATGTCGGTTTTGCTTAGGGTTGATGGCTTGAGGCTTAATGTAACCCTAAACCCTAAACCCCTATCCGAGATTCAAATCTTCAGCTGGAATGTTGTGTTAAAGGTTGGCCTTCATAGGTTCGTGGCTGTCTAGGCCCTTTAAGGCCCGGATAGTTCGCATCGCCTCATTCTCTCTGGATTCAACTTACAAGATAACTAACGGACCGTAAAACCTAAACAAAAACCCTTTAAGCCGTGCGTCAACTTGGCGGTTGGAATCAAGCTTTGCATCAAAGTTTTGAGTTTGCTGCACGCAACAGAATCAATCAGGCTCCCTGCGCCTTAAGCAACCTTGTTTGCGCACGCCCCATAGGTCCCGCGTGCTGGAGGGCTTCATGCGTACAGTTACGATGGGCTATCATGGGTTTAGAGGAAAGAGAAACTCTTCTGCTGAGTCGAACCCCGAACAACCCTGAACTCCTACTGTGCACTCTGAGCACCGGCACCTTGCGCCCCACACTCTGGACGCTGATGCATGTTTTTTTTCTGCCATTCATGGAGTCTCCCTGTAGCAAAGTTGCAGTTGGTTGCAGTACCTGCTCCTGTGCTTGCTCTGGCTACCGGCAACTCAAGCCAGTCGACACCTGTGGGAATTTCTCCGAATAATCGGGCCGCCAACTCCTCAATGAATAGCGGCCTAAGAAGCTTCTTATAAGCCCGAATATGCCGCTAGGTCCCTGAGATATCCTTCTTTTAAGGGACCCAATGTCTGTATCGTTGAGTGACATGTTCTGGAACCAATGTAGACAGTTTCAGGGCTCCTTGAAGCTTTCAGCGACTTCCCTGTGTGGTATGAAACTGAGGATAGTGGTTTTAGACCAAGGCAATCCCCAGCCCCCAGCCCCTAAAATAGGCAAGCTGGTACTTACACTCCCATTATAGCCATATCAGGGTCATGGGGGGGCTTATACCTGGGTCATGAGTACTTTGCTTTTCAGAGACCCTGAACATGCTAAACCTTGTATCCCTGAGCCTTAAACTCTGACCTTACACGCAAAACCCTAGACTGAAAATCATAGAGGATTTGTAACGTCGGGGAGTTTGGATTTCAGGGTTTCTTGGGAAGGTCCTTTCTCGGGATATAGTAGTACGTGCAGCAGAAAAGTGGGAAAAATAACAGCCTGAGGAAACTTTCATATGGGAACTGTGGGATCTAGGATGTAGGGCTTAGGTTCAAAGATTTAGGGTTTGGAGACTAGGGTGTAGGGCTTATGGTTTAGAGCCTGAGGGTTCCTATAAAGGCAGAGATAGCTGGTAAATTGTAGAAATTCCACTGCCAGAAATAATTTAGCCTATCTTCCATACAAGGGTTTGGGGCCATCTAGTTAAAAGTGTATTAGGTTAGCATTCTGCATGCCTTCGGTGTTCAAGTAGGACCTTTCGGCTTCTATGCCTTTAGTAACAACCAGATGGTCCTTGAGTGAAGTTGTCGGTTGCCTGCAAAGCTTTGCAAACCGCCTGCTCGCGGCGTCCAGCATTCAACTGCAGTGTTTAGGGTTTGGGGTCTAGTGCATGCTGCAGGACCCCGTAAAGCCTAGACGGGATTTGCGCAGGTATTGGGTTTTGTAAGTAGGGTTTAGGGTACTAATAATGTCAGGATAGCAGAGAAATACTTGGCAAAGCTTCTAGCCTGAGTTATCCCACTGGTTCCAAGTATCCAAAAATCAGCCATCAACCATATGATCACTGGAATAACTTGCATATTGAACTGATTACTGGTCGCTTGGGACATTCCCCATTACAGTAACTTTTCCTAGCCTTTCCTTATTAAGGGGCCATCATAGGTCCTAGTTTTTTGCGGTAACAGTTGCTGTAAGGGGGAATGATCCAACTTGTTGCTATAGTTGGCTGGACATATATCGAACTAAGGATGTTATGGCAGCCCTCCACCTTCGAGTAGTCTCGGGGGGCAGTGGCCTGCAAAATTACCAATATTCTTTGTGCTATCATTTACTTCAGGTCTGCCTTGGTGATTATTTAGGCCGCCTCAGCCAAGGCTTGTTTGCAGCCGCTTAGTTCCAAACCTGGCGCACCATGATGTCTATGAAATACAAGCCTAAACAACTTGCTGGTTGTGAGTGCGGCAAAAAGAGAACGTATAATATGGGGATTATATAGGGATGATATCCCCTTATTCCCTACTAACCACCAGTAAGACAATCTATATATTGGGGGCGCTTTAGGTGTAGGGAGGGGCGTTTAACATTCAGGGCAAGGGATTAACATTTGTTTTTTAAAGGTCTCCCCTTTCCAATCACTGAGGGGCCTTCAGCTCAAAGTTTTGTGTTTTTTTTTGAAAGCCAGAACTAGTCCCCCTAAACCCTAAACCTCCCCAACCCTCAAACCCTAAACCCCCAAACCTCTAACCCCTAAACCCTGAACCCCTCAACCCCGAAACTCTAAACCCAAACCCCTAAACTCCTAAAACCTAAACCCCTGAACCCCTAAACTTTAAGCCCTGAACCCTCTTTCAGCAGATGCCCGGCCTGAAATAGCCAGAAGTTTGACATAAAGTGGTTTGGTGTTGAGGGGTTAGGGTTTAGGGTTTAGGGCTTGGGGGTTAGGGTTTAGGGACCCTAAATCCCAAACATAACAGCAACTACCAGTGGAATTTTTTGACTTGGGCATTGAAGGCTCCGTCCTGCCACAGCAGCCTGAGATTCGTTCGGATTTAGGATTTTAGGGCCTGAAGAGCCAGCAATCTTATTGCCTCATACCTCTGGTATTTTTACACTTGAATCCACCCTGGGCGATTTCTCCTCCCACGATGGGTTCTGGGAGGTCCATTGGTATTTGTAACCTTCTTGTACCAGCTCTTATAACCCGATTATGAGCCCACTGACTTCTCTACAAATATGCTCATAAGTGTGTGTGTGTTTTACTACAGTTGCAGTATGTTCCAACCGTATTATATCAACACCCATAAGAAGACAATAATGATAAGCAATCAGATGCGAGAAGCCAAAATACCGACGACAAATTATGGCCACAAGCCCACTACCAGCAATGATTGCTGAGGCTTCTCAAGC